ATTAAACGTCAATCGGACAATACAGTATACATATACATCCTTAACACACATGCACGGACTGTTTCAGAATTTGCTGTCAACGTTTTCATGACAAAAATACTGTTTTAAAGTGACAAAAAGCGATCGCGAAAAACCCGGAAGTTACCATGAAACAGCTAGCTAGCTTAGCTGTTACCTGCCTAGCACGTCCCGGTGAAACCTTTGGGAGCTAACTATTTTATTTGCAGTCATTAAATACATTTCTAATTATAAGGGTTGTCTAATATTTGTTCAAATGTATATATATTTTTTATTTTAAAATTATATTCGAATTTTGAAGTCGAAGCCCTGGTGTTGAGCAGCGCTGTAGAGACTAGAGGACGCAGGCTGGTCGCTCCTTGTTCTGTGAGCGGAGGAGAATGAGCGGCCCGCTCAGACTCTACTCAGCACTTTTTACTGCCTGAATTTCATACACAGTGGAATCAATGACCTCAAGTTTTCAATTAAATTATGTATTATGATACAACTTGTATGTAGTAAAAAGCATTTTTATGAACTACTTAGAAAAAAAATCGAGTATAGCTTCTTTAAAGGGCGCACATGTTTTATGGACGTACTCAATACCTTCATGATGCAATCACATGAAACACATATTTATACATGCATCGTCTTCATCTCTCCTCCAGTTAATGCGTCACAACCCAAGATTTATTATCAGCGGTGTCTGACGCATTGTGACAAATTAATACAAATTTAGGCTTCCAAAGATATACGGTAGTTTCGTTTCACTACTAATAACATTGAAGCATGGGATGAGAGTGGGATGAGGATCAGCGTGGGAGGAGAAACTTGAACAGTTCCGGCATTCAATTCTCAAAACGGTTGCTATAAAGTTGTGCTTTAGAGAACTAGCATGACTCATAACTCCATTCTAAAGTTGGGAATTCTATTATCAGACACCATTACAATACTCACTACTGGGTTTTACTCTCCTGATATTCAGCTTTTATTGGTTACAGAAATTCTTGCAAAGAATTTGGAAGCTGCTTGCTCACAGTGGATCTCACCAATGATATGGAAGTCTCAAAATGTAACAGTGTAGGTTTATTTGACGACAAGACTAAAGTATGATTCATGTGTCTGAAAGAACATATCATGTACGCACCTTAAGGAAAGCAATAATGTTGGTGTGGTGTGTACAGTATCAGACTGTTGTTATGAATAGGGAGTCGAAAGGCGCAGCTCTCGATATACTGCCTATCTACTTTCCAAATTGTGTAAGCTGGAGTGAAAATGTCTGTGGCTAGGGAAGTCTACACAGCAATGGATAAATTGTAAGAAAAAAAATTGGATATAAGATGTCTCATTACTCTATTGTAGGGGTCTCCAAACTTTTTCAATCAGAGAGCTACTTTCATACAACAGAAGAGGCAGAGAGCTACTCCTTTTTTGCGGTCATCATACAAATCTATGTAATAATTATGACGAAACATGAAAAAGAGATGAAAAAAATACCATAATACTCAAGAGACATAATGCTCAATATTTATACTTATAATAGACATGTAATGACTCAAAAGTGAATCATTCAAAATCATGTGTTAAATTCTTAATAGTAAGTAAGTAATCTTTATTTATATACCGCCTTTCACAGACCAGAGTCACAAAGCGGTTTACAATTGTTATTATTTTTTGGGTACTTGTCCTCTCACTCCACACAGAGATGGGAGCGGGGTCGCCAGTACAGGAGGCGCATGCCAGACCTATTGTACATATTTTTAGTGGTAGGGGAAACTGGAGCACCCGGAGTAAACCTACGCAGACACGGGGAGAACATGCAAACTCCACTCAGAAAGGCCCTGGTCCGGCCGGGATTCGAACCCAGGACCTTCTTGCTGAGAGGCGAGAGTGCTATCCACTCAGCCACCGTGCCGCCCATCCTTTGGAGAGCTACCTGAATGGGGCTGACGAGCTACTGGTTGGAAACCCCTGCTCAATTCTGATGTATTTAACACTTTAATGGTTTCCTCGACAGTTGGGGAGATCACCTTTTGAGTCAATCTACTTAAAGCTTGGAACTGAAATATACAATACCTCTTTGGGTCATCTCGCTTTTTAGGCACATTTACCAAACAAAATGCTTCTCAACCACTTGGTAAATAGTCTTAGAATAATAAAAAAGGGGTTAGAAAAGTTAGAAAAGGACAGGCATTTAGGGAGAGTGCCTCTTTATGAAGGGAGGCCAGAGGGTGTGTTTATTATTATAATTATTATCGTGGGCTCACACTCTTTGGTCTCCCTGTTAGGTCTATTTCAAGGTGTTGTAGTGAAATAGTTAAATCTCGAATTGCAGACGGATATATTGCACAGTTTTGGTGAAGAGTGAGCTGAGTCAAATAATAAAACTCTCGATATACGTTCCCACCTCACTGTGATTGGGTATTGACTGAAAAAGAACAAGAATCTGAACACAAGCAGTAGGGATTAGTTTCCTCCCTGTAGGGTGAGGAGCTCAGTCAGAGCTCGCAGTAGAGCCGCTGCTTCTCCGTGACAAGAGAGAGGTTAGGTGAGATGGCTCGAGCATTAAAAGCTAATTCATAATTTATTTTAGTGTCATTATTTGTTTGTCATGAAATTTACAGACTCACATAACACACACACAAACAAAGTACACGCATACTAACAGTTTTGTTCTGTTTAGAAAAAAATCTTAAACTAAATTATCTAAAAAGTGAAAGTGGCGCCAGAGTGTCCAATTTTGCAAAAGTTTGAAATACATTTTTGAGACGAAAAACTGTCTAATAACCTTCTTTCCAAGGTCAGTTCTTGAATGAAGATTTTAAAAGCCAATGGTTGTGATTAGAGATACATAGTTGTCGGTAACTAAACAGGGAGTTTTTCAATCAGTTCTTTAATAATAAATTGAATAATATTTTTCCCTCTTCTAATGGACGGGGAAGGTCAACTTAGATTTTTATACAGCGCACAGTAGCATTTATCTATGAAATGTTCCAGTTTATATTTTGTCAGTAACATCACATCTCAACCATATTGTAGCCTGCTTTGCCCAGAGAGTATACTTAATAGTTACCTAATGTAACTTAAGTTCTACGAATAGGTGCGTAGTCCCTTAGGACTTCGCTAGTGGGATATCACTCGTGACCCCCAGGTCACACGCCAGAGAGATCAAAATAATTTGCTCCAATCACCAGCCACCTTCCTCTATAAATGCCCCTGCACAAGGCCGCACCCCCTCTTGAACTCTGCCAAGCCGGGCTGGCCTGATGGGCTCGTAGCTAAGGGACTACGCACCTATTCGTAGAACTTAAGTTACATTAAGTAACTATTAATTCTACGTCATGGTGCTACGTCCCTTAGGACTTCGCTAGTGGGACACAACGCGGAGGCCGTAGGAAAATGTACTCCCAGCAGGCCAGCGAAGGGTGATTGGAGCTCCGCCCGAGCAAGACCCTCACAACGTGAAAGGACTCAGGGCAGAAGAAACAAGCGTGTTACGGGGCCACTCCTACCAAGGATACCCCCACGTAACACAAGCCGTAGGTCATCCGTAGTCACAGGACGCCTCTCCCAAGAGCTCCTGACGTGGACTACCAGACCGACCACACACACAAATGTACCGCACCTGTAGGATGCCTCTCCCAAGAGCTCCTGCACCAGGGCGGAAAATAGACCGAAGGCCCCCCTCAGGGGAGGGACCCAACGGTCTAACTCAGTCCGCTGCACTCAGCACGGAATGGGCCACCGACCGGTCCGACACATCCGAAAGATAAGACCGGACGAAAGAGGAGGACGACGCCCAAGAAGCCGCACGGCAAACGTCCTCGACCGACGCCCCCCTGAGAAGGGCCGTAGAGGCCGCCATCCCACGCGTGGAATGCGACCTGAAACCCACCGGGGGGGCCAGACCCTGCGTCTGATACGCCCGCCGCACCGCCGTGGCGACCCAATGCGCCAGCCGCTGAGCCGACAGCGGGGCGCCCCTGTTCTTGGGGCCCAGACACACAAACAGCTGATCACCCGACCTGAATGACGACGTCATGGCCAGGTAATGCCTCAGCATTCTGATAGGACACAGAAGGTGCTGCCGCTCCTCCTCGGGGGAGGCATGCGGCGGCGGGTGGAAAGCCCTAATCCTGATGACTCTCGACCTAAAGGCCGACGTGATGACCTTGGGGAGAAAAGCCGGATTGGGCCACAATTCCACCATGCCGTCGTCCTCTCCAAAGGACAGGCACGACGCATGGACGGAGAGCGCACACAAATCGCCCGCCCTCTTAGCAGACGCCAACGCCAGTAAGAGGGCCGTCTTAAAGGCGATACACTCGGGACTCGCCTCCGCCGCCGGTTCAAAAGGCGGACCCGACAGCCCCCTAAGGACCACCCTGAGGTCCCAAACCGGAGGCGTTCTCTGGAGCGGGGGCCTCCTCCTGCGCGCCCCCCGCAGAAAACGTTTAACCAACGGGTGAGAGCGGGCTGTGAACCTCCCGAACCCGTCGTGACCCGAAGTAATGGCTGCCGCAAACACCGCCAAGGTAGCGACAGCCCTTCCCTTGTCGAAAAGCTCCTGTAGGAATCTCAGGACCCCCTCCAGCGGGCAACACCTGGGATCCCAGGAACGGGAATCGCACCAGACACTGAATAGCCTCCACCTCGTGGCGTAGGCCCTCACGGTGGACGGCGCCCTCGCTCCCTGAATAGTCTCCACCACCGCAGGGGGAAGACCCAGATCTACGAGGCTCCGCCTCTCAACCTCCAAACCCAGAGCCTGCGGCCGATTATCGGACGTGAAAACAGGGCTCCTGCCCCCTGGACTAGAGCCCCCGGCTCGTCCGGGAGGGCCCAGGGCTCCATCACCGCCATGCCCCTCAGGAAGGGGAACCACCGGGCATGCGGACTGTCCGGAGCCACCAGAATCACCGATCTCCTCTCCTGTTCGATCCTCCGCAGCAGGACCGGCAGGAGACGCACCGGTGGGAAAGCGTACAACAGGCCGCCTGGCCATGGGTAATGAGCCAGAGCGTCCACGCCTAAAGGCGGCTCGTCCGCGGCCCTTAAGGCGAACCAGGACGGGCACTGTGCGTTCTCTGCACTGGCGAAAAGGTCGACTACTGGACGGCCGAACCTCCGCCAGATCTCCGCAGCTACCCGTGGGGCCAGGCCCCACTCGTCCTGGAGTGGGCCCCCCCTGGACATTCTGTCGGCTCCCACGTTCCGGACCCCCGGGACGTGGCGCGCCCTGAGAGACAGGAGGTGAAGCGCCGCCCACAGCAGCGTCACCGTCGCCATGCGATGGAGAGCGGGGGACCTGGTGCCCCCCTGCCTGTTCAGATAGGAGACCACTGTGGTGTTGTCTGAGCGCACCATCACGTGTCTCCCCTGCAGCTGAGGGGCAAAGTGCAGCAGTACTCTGTGTACTGCCTCCATCTCCAGCAGGTTGATGTGACGGGCTGAGTCCGACCAGCAGCCTCCTACAGAGCTCTGGCCGAGGACCCCGCCCCATCCTTCGAGCGACGCGTCCGTGAACACCTCGACGTGAGACACAGCGCAGGCCAGAGTCACTCCGTCCCGCAATAGACCCGGAGTGAGCCAGAACCTGATGTCCGATGCTGCCCCTTGGGGAACCCAGATCAGCCTCCCCCCGTCCCGGGAGGGGTGAAGCCTGAGGCGCGAGAACCACCTCTGAAAATTTCTCATGTGGAGCAGGCCTAGCCGCACCACAGCATGAGCCGCTGCCATCATTCCCAGCAGGGACCTGAGGCGCCGAGCGGGGACTCTGGGGCCCGCCAGAACCTCCCGGGCCAGACGGGTAATACTCATCCGTCTGTCCACGGACAATGCAGCACGGAATATCACAGAGTCTAGCTGCAGACCGAGGTAAACCATGCGTTGGGCTGGCTGCAGTTTGCTCTTCTCCCTGTTCACCACAAAGCCCAGACGCTGTATGTGGGACAGGACCCAGTGCGTGTGGCTCACGGCCACCTCCCTGGATGGGGCCAGTATTAACCAATCGTCTATATAGGTTAATATTCTTACCCCCGCACGTCTGATCGGCTCCAGAGCTGCTTCCACACATTTGGAAAAGGTGCGAGGCGCGAGTGCGTACCCGAAGGGGAGACGGCAGTACTCGTAATTCCTCTCTCCCACTGCGAAGCGCAGAAACCTCCTGTGTTCTGGCACTATGGGCACGTGGAAGTATGCGTCTGTCAGGTCTATGGAAGTCATCCAGTCTCCTTCCCTGACACACTCGAGGAGCTGCCTTGTGGACAGCATCCGAAACTGCCGCTTGGAAATGCACTCGTTTAACACGCGCAGATCCAGAATGGGACGCACCCCGCCTGATTTCTTTGGCACTAAGAAGTAAGGGGAGTACAGCCCCCTGGTGGCGTCCTGCGGGTCTACCTCCACTGCCGCGCCTCGACTCAGCAGAGAGGAGACCTCCGCTTGCAGTGCCTCTGTCGATCCCCGTACCTGAGAGCGTACTGCCCGTACGCCTCGGAATGGTGGTGGCTTTCGGAAAAATTGCAGCGCGTAACCTCTGCGCAGAGTTTTCTCCAGCCAAATATCTGTCAATAGGCCCTGCTCCTTCCAGATGCTGTAGAAATCTGTGAGGGGCGGAATGGAAGTTGGAACACGAGACGTCACGGCCCCGCCCCCTCCTGGTGTTCCTAGCAGGGAGGGGGGGTGGCTGAAAGGGCCGGGGGGGCCCCTGCGTCACACCGTGAGCGCCGAGGGCGGTCACGTGTTCTGCAGGCCCGACGTCAAAAGTACGGGACTGCTCACCACACGTGACTCGGCTGCTGTGCCCCCCCCTGGCTCTTGCCTCATGGAGGGGGGGGCGAGCCCCTGGAGCGGGAAACCCCGTGTTAGCCTTGTAGCTCTGCTCACCACACGTGACACGGCTGCTGTGCCCCCCCTCGGCTCTTGCCTCATGGAGGGGGGGATGAGCCCCTGCATTGGGAAACCCCGTGTTAGCCTTGTAGCTCAGAGATGCTAACACGCGTTCGGCCGGAGCACACACATTATCACTTACCAGATCCCTCCGCCTGCCCTCTCTCCGGGAGGGCAAAACATGAACCCGTGAATCGGAGCCCGTGGCCCGCGTAGTACGCTGCACGCCCTTCTCTGGGGGCTGCAGGCCTAGCGGAGCCACGTTATATGCTCGAGAAGTAACACAATCAGAATTCAAATCATTTGACATGTTACATACCCCCAAATGAGACTCAGACAGCGAGTACTGATGAAATGCCGGACGGCCTTTATTGAAAACATTTTTCCCACCCCGACCTCCTCTGCCATAGGGAGGTCGTCGGTGGGTGTGTTGGTCCCGCGAACCTCCCGTGTGCCTGTCTGGGCCCGGGGGTCTCGTCGCTGGGGAACGATGGACCACGGAGCGTGGATATGGTCCGGGGCGCCTGCCGGGCGAGCGCTCCCTGACTCTGTCTCGGCTCCGCGCTGGTGGGCGGGCCTCGCGTCTCGCAGCTAGATGCTTGGCTAGGCTAGCAGAGTCCTTAGCTGCGGTGTCCAGCCTCGTCATCAGCGTCTGCATCTCCGGACCGAAGAGTGACGTTTGGGAGATGGGCAGGTCCAGCAGCTGCCTCTTCTCCGCCTCTCTGAGATTCACCGATCCCAGCCAGAGGTGTCTGGCCCCAACTTGTGCTGCTGCCATCGTGCGGCCGCCATCGACAGCTAGTGCTTGGCACATGCGCAAGATCGCCGCTGAAGTGGTCCTCGCCTGGGATAAGGTGTCTCCACTGAGTGCCTGGTCAGAGGAGAGAGACCTATCCAGGGCCCCGGTGATGAAGGCCATGTTGTTAGCCACCGCGACGACCTGGGCCGCATTGGCGTAACATCTGTCGTGCATCGCCAAAGACATCCTATCCCGCTCGGAGGGAAGGAGAGGTCTGGTGCTGGGCCACACGGATGTGGAGGGGTACAGGGCCGCCCGAACCGAGTCCTCGATGTCCGGGACCCCGCCGGTCCAGGACCAGTCCTGCACGTTACAGTACATGCCATACCCCAAAGCGGGCCTCTTGGCCGCTAGGGGCTTTGGCCACTCACGTGTCGCGTAATGGACGATCGGGTCCATACGCGGGCACAACGTGGGCTGGGCTCTCCTCCTCCCTCGAGGGGTGGCGTAACCAGAGGTGAAGTCCTCCACCCTCTGGTTCGGTTGCGGTGGCAGGGGGGCATCCATGATGGCCGCCGCCGTGGCGTAGAGCCCAGGCATGTGGTCCAGCGGGAAGCGGTCCGGCTCCGGGTTGGACACCACCTCGTCCAGCGTGAGGAGAGAGCCGACCTCCGACACCTCTCCGTCCTCACAGTCACCCCACTCAGCGGGCACGGGTGGAAGGTCGAGGGGGGCCCAGTCAATCGCAGACTCCTCGTCCTGAGAGGAGTCCGGACGGGGCGCTGTAGCGGCGAAGAACGCGCGCCTGCGTTCACTCTCCTCCCTGGGGAGAGCGACACACGAGGCGCAGGTGGCGCTCAACGCCGCATGGCCCGAACCCAGGCACAGGAAGCAGCTGGAGTGCTGGTCCTTGCGCTGGAGCTTGACCCGACAAGTCAAGCAACGACGACGTCCGACGCCGGATGGCGAAGGGGAACTCGGACGAGCATCAGAAGACATCTTTCCTCAGGTAATTGAATGTAGATCTCAATCGGCGCCAGAGTGAAAGAGGGGGTGCGGCCTTGTGCAGGGGCATTTATAGAGGAAGGTGGCTGGTGATTGGAGCAAATTATTTTGATCTCTCTGGCGTGTGACCTGGGGGTCACGAGTGATATCCCACTAGCGAAGTCCTAAGGGACGTAGCACCATGACGTAGAACCTGCTCCATCTCTGTGTGGAGCATTGCCCCAAAAGAAAAGAAAGACAATTGGAAAGCGCTTTTCTGACTCTAGTTTGTGAAAGGCGCTATATAATTAAAGATTACTTAAAACTGCATCATATGGGTTTCTGTCTCCATATGGATAAAACTATTGTCATTTTTAAACAAAAGTCTAAAAATGAAAAGTCCAATCCTCATTATTCATGCTCATAGCTCGATGATTCTGCCTTCTACATCACGCACTAGATCGCATTTTCTGTGCGCGACTAGTGCGCCGTGTTGTTTTCATGGATCAGCTTGCTGCCTGCTGCAAATGGGGTGGTGGATGTTTGAGCAGTGACATCAAATACGGAACAGTGAGTATTCTGATGTATCTATACACTATCATGGGGTAGTAGTCGTTTGTTTTTTAATGGATAAAGACATCTATGCTTATACAGCTGATCGGCTTTGCGCTCCTGCCTCCCGCCAGTGATAATGTCTATTACGTTGCCATTTTCTGACGGTATGTTGCTGGATCCTTTATCTGTCCCTCGTACAGATCCAGGGCTGTGTCATCAAGTAAAATCAACACAAATGTCGAACGGAAATGGAAATGATAGTAATTCTATTTGAGTAATGGCCTAGTCTCTCCGCAGTACACATATATAGCGATGTGCATGGGGGATTCACATATGGACAGATCGGCGAGAGGACATGTCTTTGAGCTATAGAGTAGATTTTAGACGTGCAGAAAACGCATATGCATTGTTATAATCGGTACAGTGCGGATAATGGTTCTTTGGGGCTTACGTTAGCTCATAGCAGGATGTGCGTGAGTGACATCACTGGAGCTGGGAGGCCTATAGTCTCGCAGATCAAGCTATGCGTACATGTTGCAATCATTTTGATCAATTTATCTGCTGACATTTTGACATGTAAGCAGATCGTGGGTTTAGGGTATGTTCTAGTCTCGGTAAAAGCCTGTTTGAAGGACTGGCAGTCGGTGTTGGCAACATCAGCATCCTGGGCTTGAGCAGAGGCCTCCCTGCAGCGGGGATGGAACTGGAGCTCAGGATCATTTATGTTTTATACATTGATGTCTTTTTGTTTTAAATCTATTTTCTAACAACTGTTGCTACAAACACACACAAGAATAATCGATCTTTCAGTATTCTGCCCCACAGCTTTTGGCACATTGTGTTAAATGGCACTAAATGAGAGCCTGTGTTATTATCACATACTGGTTTGTGCTGAGGTTCAGTGTGACTGGACTCATGACAGTATGTATAGGACAGGGAAGCCTTTTGTCCACGAGATGGGTTTTACACATAACTATCTAAATGATACATTTTGGGCTTGAAAATCATCATCTGGATTTTTTCTTCAAGATTGTATTTAGTATAGTTTTGGTAATGTGATCAAATCAGATTGATAACAGCACCTGAGGTTTAAGGAAGTCACTTTTATGGCTAAATATGACTATTTTCTCACTCAGTTAATTGCTTGTTACTTGTAATTCTGCTTGAGGTAGTTGTAAAATTATTGTTTGTAATACTTATAAACTTAAAACATGCACACTAGGTAAAATTCTCCAGCTCTGGTTCTGACCAAGCTGAGCATTGTCAGAACCAGCATCAACATCTGGTGATGGGTCCCCGGGCGCTGTTACTACGGTGACCACTGCTCCTGACGTAAGCCTTAGTGGCATCAGGATGGGTCAAATGCAGAGGACATGTTTTCCTACGGGGACAATAAAGCGCACATTTACATTTATTTACATTTATTGTATTATTCTAAAAATCAAAATGATTTATTGTGACAGGCCTAATTATATAAACATTTATTTACTGCATCTACAGCGGCGGCTCCTAATAATTTTCGTAAAAGAGAGAACAAATCACGTGATAGGATTGGACTTTATAGCCTCATTGTGACTTCCAGTTCCGTTGATTCCACTGGACGCTCCTAGCGATAGATTTAATAATACTGTATAAATGTAGGATACATTATTTGCCCTTTCTTTTTATAACCTCCCCCCCATTGGGCCTATGAAGAATAATCCTTGGAGCCTCCAGCTTTGTAATTAGAACCATCTGTAGAATCCTCTTTGTGTTAATTATGAATAATTGTTTACTTTTGTTTAAGGAATTTGTCTTCTGCATGTGGCACATCCTTCTTTGGCGTTAATGAAAGCTGTCTGGAGCTGTGCTGCAAGGTGAGCTGCATTTGTTGTGGACTGTAGCATTTTTTTGTTGATGGTAAAACAAAAAACTTGGGTCCTGGGTTTACAGTGTCTACTATAACTATACTCAGATTTGCTGACACTTCTCCAGCAGATATAGGACTTTAGAGAAACATTGCAATTGTGATGTAGTATTTTGGTATCCTGTCTGTTATAAAAACTCTTAACACAAAGGTCCTGGGTTTACAATGTAATTCCTGAAGAGCATTGCATTGGAAAAGGTTACATATGAAGAGATTACCGAATGCACAATTCCCACACGTCTCAGTTTAAACCTGTTGTACAACCGTTTTTGTGTCGTAGAAATAAAAGATTCACTGTAAATGTTAAATAGAGATATACATATAAAGTATTTTTTTTATATTTTCTCATTAAAATCTAATAGTCAGAACTAAGTTTTATATACATTATGAAAAAGATGACATATCTCACGTAATAAGAAAGAATTAGAAAGTAATGCTTAATTTATAAGAGAGATACAGTAGATGACAAACCAAATATTCAAAATATTCTCAAATGTAGGGAAATTTTCTCGTTGCACAAATGAATGGAGCAGCCCTAAGCAGCAGCAGAGTAATGGGGTTAAATGACAACAAGGACATTGTCCTTGTGCTGCCACCCTGATTCTCAGGTCGTTAGATGGCATTGTGCTCTTTCTTTCTGGGTGAATTACATTTTACTACATTTTGGAGGTTGGACAGAATGTTGTTTTGGTAAAGCCCACCAAACCCGTGAGAAGCCAGGAGGTCCAGGGTGCGCAGGGGAAGCGTGTGGACTCTACCCTCCAGGTTCACAAAATACCAAAGCAGCTGATCAATGTGCATATCTGCTTGTGTCTAGACTCAAACAAGGGCAGTTACCTCAAAAGGGAGGTTTAGATTTCCTGAGAAACTTTTCCTTTTTGTACATTGTAAATATTTTTGCTTCATCTTCCCCACACTCTAGTGCTTACTGTGTTTTTCCAGCTTTAAACAGAACAGACAGACAGTCTTTAGCGCTGCTTTTTGATCTCGGGTGCAGGCCTATCGGACAACAAAAGGCCTGGGAGCATTATTTGTTTAGAGCTGCAGTTTCTGTTAAAATGGATTGTGTTTGTGTTGTTAATTTTGTTTACTAAGAACATTTCACTGCAATAAAATATGCATTTATTTTACACATTGTATCGAGAAAACACAGTTGCAATCCTTAATATAAAACACTGAGTTTCAAATGTATCTCTATCTCCAATTGATGTATCCATTATTTTTATGAATTTCACCTATTGTTTAGAAACCATTGGGCCGATGGCTTATTTACCATGTCAATGCCAATAATTAATTTCAAATGATATTACATTTACGACTGTGTTTGGTTTTGTGCTCTCCTGACTTGTCATGTCAAGTAGCAATTTATTCATATTCATGATGAACAAAGACCATATTGGACTCAACTATCAGATTGTGATAGTTGAGTTGCAAAAGTGCAAAAATATTACTTATATATTCTGGAATTCAATCTTGGATCTATATTTTGATATAAATCTCAAATTGTTTGTTATGTGGACAACCTTTGGGAGGGCCCCTTGCAGTGGCTCTGAGGCCTCCGAGGGGCCGCAACTCTGCATTGTTCTACTGTAAGGCTTTTCTACAGACTGTGCTCTGGTTTTGCTTCTGACATGGTTTTAATCATGATATCTACAGTTACATCATGTAATGGAGGTTTTGTTTGTCTTTGTAATCTGTGTTTTGATCCTGTTGCTGTCTTCAGGTGAGGACCATGGATGCTTGTTCTCGTGTCAGAGGAGTCCGGCCTCGTGCCGCAGTCCGAAAAGAGGTGAGTTTTGATCTTCATTAAACACCTCCTGCTGAATGTGGATGCATTATGGGGTTCCATTGGGATTACATCCCCACACGCTTCTGCACTTTGATGATGAAACAATGTAGTTACAGTAGGGTAAATATTTTGTTTCCATAAGACTTGCTCAAAGCTATAAAAAAAAGTGTGTCATTGTGTTTATTTTGCCTGGCAATTTTTAAAACACGAATGCATCTGTATTTTCAGATTGTGCGTGAGAGTTGGGTGCACAATGTTAAGAGCCTTCGACACAAAAAGGATCTATGCAGCATTTGCCTCGAACTGCCGACCAGAGACACCACAAGGCTGGCAGAGGTTGGTTTCCCAAAAACAGCCTAAATGGGAAAAGTAGACCTCAAACTCTCCATGTTATAAACTTCCCTTTATTTTCTTTTCAGATTAATTTTGTGTGTCTGCCAAGTCGGTGTGAGGGAGAGGAGGCCAGTCAACAGGTGAGTGACCAAAAACAACGTGTCTAAAATGGTCAGTCTTCTGTTTGTGTTAATTCATCTAAAACGGTTTTTGTTTAGACGCTGCAGTCTTTACCCATGGGCCTTTGCGAGCTCCTCCAGCCGCATCACGTCCAAAGCCTCAAACAGGACGAGGTTCTGCTGCTGAGAGACTATCGCCGGATATCAGACCACAAGGATGCAGCTACACAGGTTTTTCTGGACTTTTCTTCACCAATATGCACTACTAAATTATCAATATAATCAACTCTTATTCAGCACAAAGCTTAAATAAAGTTATTCTGAAGTAAATAGTATTTATTGTATCGTCATATCTATCAAAATTCTAATTATTAAAGTTAAGTAAATTCAATGTTATTTTTTTTTAATTGACATATTATCAAAATTGTAAAATGAAATCATTTGAAATATTGAATGTCCTCTGCAAAGAACAGGACACAATACATACTGTTTTTGGATCATTCTCAAGGTCGTATAATTCATAATTGTTGTGTTATTTCAAATAAAAAATTAAAATTGGAATACTTTTCGTGGAATAGTTTCCTACCTACTTCTGCTGTTGTTTACATTGTGCAAATGTAATGAAAATCAAATATTTATTTTATTCCAACGTTGTGCAACCGCTCTATGAAGTATTTTCTCACACTGGCGAAGCAGCCCAGGTGGCCCGTGGCTGCAGCCTTGTGCTTCCTGGCCATATGTGTTGTGTTTTGGTTCACACAAGCACTGCAGCTCAATCTGTGGTTTTGTTTGTCCATTTTAAACATTGAGATCACCCACCTCTTTGATTCAAAATGTGGACTTGCACATTTTCTCTCTCCTGCTTTTTCCGGTTCTCCCTAAAAAAGTGTAGACATAACAGTTTGCAAATAAAAACATGAACTTTGTATTTGAAATGTATTTTCATTTCTTCTTGTCATGTGCTTGTTTTGACAGTTTATTCATCATTACTGACCTACTTTCTCCATTTTCTTCCCCTTAGGTTCTCTGTAAGGCTGTGTGTGTGATGAGGAACAGTCCCAGACCTGTTATATCTGCTCAGTCCAGTGTCTCTCACCTCCTGGGCCTGCTGGGCTGCTACATGGCCGGAATCCGATATGCTTTAGAGACAAAGGGATTCTCTGGAGGCAGGCAACAGGAGGAGGACGACACCAATCAATCCGTATCCTCTATTGAAGATGACTTTGTGACTGCTCTGGAGCACCTAGAGGATGATGACTCTAAAGACAAGCCTGGTATAGTATATAGTATATAATTATTTTTCATATTTTTTCTAGGGATTTGATCGGTTATCATCAGTTCATCAGTTTGATTATATTGGTTTATTTTGAAAAGTCCATTTACCTGCTAGAAAGGCAATTTAACGTTGGTTTAACTTTTACTCAATAGACAGTAGTTCTGTTGTTACTTACAGGATCAACAGGTAGTTTTAGTGCCACCTATATCAAAATAATAGGGCACTAGTGCTTCGATCGGCCTGAAAATCGTTGTCCCACACCTGGTCACTGGGGGCGCCCTAAACTCTTTGAATGAGCTTTTTGAGCAAAATGTTTGTCCGATGAAGCGAGAAATTAATTCACAAATTCAGTGTATGACCCTGAACACAACAATATGCAATACACAAATGTGAATGCAACAGCGCCACCTACAGGCAGTTCAGGGTGTTGTGCTTTTGAATTCCATCTAGTCCCAGGTCCCACACAAACATTTTCCATGTCATTTCTCCATCTGGAGAAGTTGAATGAAGGAATATAATCATTGAAACAAAGTTAGAATTTCATCACCGTTTTCAGGCCAGGCAGCAGTGAATTTCACACGGTTTATGACCTCGGGGCCACAATAGCCTACCAATGGTGGCGCACCCGTTGCTGATAAACATTCTGGTCCTGTTGATAGTATAGTTTTTTATCGTGTTTATTTAAACTACTGCTAATAGAAGTAGTAAGAAGTAATTAGGCATTTAGTGATGCTGAAACAATGTTTGTTTTACTGAGAAAACAAAAAGGTATGAATTAAGGCATCTTCGTAAATGCACTAGAGCAGGAAATGTTACAGATTTTAGGTAATGTGTAAAACGCCATGTTCCGAAATTAGATGCTTCCACAATTTTGCAATTTACCCACCAAAAAATTCAGTGTTGATTAGATCGCCACCTTTTTCACGATGGTTGAGTTTGTAACTCTGTTGTGTCCCATTGACGCACAAATACGTCAAAGCAAATAGTGACGTCGTGTGCCATTGACGCATTAATACGTCAATTGCTTTTTTCGCTATTTTCACGTTCCCAGATGTCTATTGTATCTAATATGTATGGGGATGACTTGAGACCATATTTTATCAAGCCAGCAGGTGGCAGCATTGCTCTCTGAATGGTTTGAAAACATGTAGGTGCACATGTTGTGCCTGTTTTTTCTCAACTTTCTGGTGATTTCAGTAAAACTTCCCTCTACTCAACGGAGGATTACAGGGGAACGAAAAAAGCTATAAACAAAATTCTTTTTGCTGAGGAAAGTAGACAGTCCATTCTTTTAGAATCTGGTGTCGGATTTCAGATAGTCATAGTACACAATATTCTGTGGGTCTTGAAAAATCAGTAAAAATCATCAGAAATGGCTGGCACTATGGGAGTACCTGTTCTGAAATGGGCTGGCATTCAATGAGTTAAGACAGAGCCGGAGGCTTGTAGACCAATGGAGGTGAAAATGGAGATCTTTCAAGGGATTTGATTATTGGAAAGTAACCATATTCGTCAGAGGGCCAGAGTTTTACCAGACAGTCTCCTCAGGGACCCCCAAAGAGAAAATTTAACACGATTCATTTTTTTGCCATTTGCAGTAAAAACACATTGGAATACATCCGCAAAAGTCCCCAGTATGCACAAGACAAGAACTTTTAAAAAATTAGGTTATAAGTACAAACAAAACTGGAAACAATTGACACTGTGAAATCGATCAACTAAAACAGTTTCATTACAAAGGCAAGATCATTTAAAGTGCTCTATTTAAACTGATAAAAGCTTCTGGAAAGAAGCTGTTAGCAAAACGAGATGTCCTGCATCTCAACAAACTATATCTTCTGCCAGAGGGAAGAAGCTGGAACATGGCTTTTCCAGGGGTCAGAAGAGTCATTATTTATTATTATTGAAAAGAAAATTCACAAAAATGTTGCAAAACAATAGAATGACAGGGAAAATAAGGAAGAGGAATAATAAATATATATACTGTATATATTATTTTTTTGATTGTCACAAGTTGGGAACAAAGTCACGTGCCGGATTGAACGCTCCGGCGGGCCGCATTCATTTTTGTTTCAGCCAGTAATATACTGAGCACTTACATTGTGTTTGAATTTTGTTTTCTACAGGAGCAGCTTCCTTTCGGTATTTGAAGAAGCATGATGTGGCATCTCAAACAATTCCATCTCATAAGAGAAAAAAAGAGTTGTTGGGCTCACGCATTATCATAAGTTCAGCCCCAAAGAAACATCCAGAAATGTCTGTCACAGTGCAGAAGTCTGAGGGCATGGAGTCCCAGTGGACCATCTGCAGCCCCAAAGCTCGACTACCATCCCCATGCGACCACATCAGCGAATCAGACGAGTCCAACTGCTCCAGCCCTAGCCCAATCATTTTCCTGGATGATGTAGGTTACCAGAAGAGCCTTTTAGCTAAACTAGATATTCCTCAAGTACCAGGGGGGCCCAGGGAAAGGGTGGAGGACTCAGATTCAGAAGTGAGCGAGTTTTTTGACAGCTTTGACCAGTTTGACAATATAGATGAGCATAGCACAGAGACCTGCACTTTGGCCCTACCAGTGGACCCTATAGTGGCACCAACTACTCAAAATAAGCCTGCTGATGCCAGCACTTGCAGAGCATCAGCTAAGTATGTGTCAAGGGGATGTTCAACAAAAGGAATGAACCTTCAGCGCTTTGAAGCTCCCACCCTTCCTGCTGATGTGAAAAAACCCACTCCCCTAAAACCTGGCTCTCCATATTCACACCACTCTGAGTTACCAGACTCTCCTAGACCAGTGCACACGCCCTCAGATGAGAATGGAGGGCCACTCTTCAGCCCTGTCAGCTCCTCAGCCTTCAGTCCACTCACAGATGGAAGTGGGAATCTGGAATACTTTTGGAAGACGGACGAAGATGGCAGAGGAGTATCAGAGCTGCGTAAACCACAAGATGTTTGCTCATTGTATAAAACTTACTCAGACTTTGCCAGCAACATGTCCAAAGAAATTATGGAGTCTGTCTGTGGCTTCCAGTCAGCTGTTGACATTAGTAACAATAAAAATCTCAGTTGTGTCTGTCACAAAGAGTTCAAAAACCCATTGGGTTATGTGATGAAACTTTCAGAAATCCAAGAGACTGTAACTGTTGCCAGACTGCAGAAAACATCACAGTCCTTGAAAGATGGCATCCAAAGGTTTGCTACAGATTTGGTGGAAATGAGCTTGGGCAGCGCTTTTAGGGATCTTCAAAACAGTGTGTCCTCCTGCACGACAACGTTGTGTCATCTAGCAGCCAGGCTGACGTCGTCAGTGTTTCAAATGGCATTTCACGAGATCGGGATGCGACATGCCTTTGTGTTAAAAGATAGAGCCATCAATGGATTAGCTGGTTTCTTGGTGGGAGAGGCCCTGTCAGATGCATTTTCAGAATTTCTGACAGTAAAGAAACAAATGTTTCACAAGACTGTCGCAAATTTTGCGGCTGATTTGGCAGAAGAGTTAGTTTTTGAAGGTATGATGGAAGTGTGCCAGTTTTCCCACCCATCAACTCCCCACACACCTAATGATCGAACCTTTAGTCTGGGACTGGAAATGGATGAAGAGGAGGAGGTAGTTTCCTCATATGCTTCAGACCTGTCTGAGTCCGTTCTCCAGGAAGCTTTTATTCAACTGTCCCAGGCTGATGTACCCTTCTCCAGCCAAGCTGCTGTCAGTCTGTCTGTGGATAATGTGTGCTATGTAAATGCAGAAAATACTTTCACTAGTAGTACTTTTTCGAACCAGCAAGTTGTAACCTGCTCCATTCAGGGATCTTCAAAAAATGACCCTACATGTACAGTAAAGAAAGCCCTGCTTACAGTGTCTGGTATGGCGAGTTGTGTCCCTGTGCCTAATGCAGGCCATGCTCTCTCTCATGTTCAAGAACCAGAGGAGACTTTGTCTGAAAACCCTCATTGTAGCCCTGACTCTACCACATCAACACAAACTCTTCCTTTTACACACAAAGAGGATCAAGCCAAGTCTCCTTTTCAAAATTTCTCTGGCAACATGGTTGATATGATGGTAACAGAAGCTTGTGAGATTATTACTGCCTCAAAGGTAAAACAGACCTTTGGTGACTGTGCTGATTTCTTTAGTAAGATTGGTAACCAAAAAGTTTCAGAGCAAGTATTTACAGATTCTATGTTACAGTCAAGATTACCCTTGCAGGGACAAGGTGAATGCCAAGGGAAAACCACCCAGATCAGGAATGTGGCCGAAACACATCCTGTGGTTGACACACTGGATGTTCCCAGTATTTCCATAAGTTCACACAAAAAGAGATCCGTCCATGTAGATGAGTTGGGGAAAAAGTCTGGTGAAACTCCTGGTACTCCTCCATCCACACCTCAACAGCCCAGCGAGGTTTCTAAAGAGAATCAGATAAAACAGTTTTCTAAAAAACTGAAAACTAAGCTCGCTAAAGAGTTCTCCCCAGCCACTCCCCCTCCCACTCCACACTATCACCCAGAGTATGATCTTAAACTGAAAGATGCATCTCCAGAGGCTGAAAAGGCAGAATTTATGATAAAACTCATGAGGTCCCTTTCAGAGGAGGCAGAGGGTAATGAAAATGAAGAGCATGAAGACGTGCCAGAGTCAGCAGTTTGTGTCAAAAACAGAAGATTGGAGGTAGGACACAAGTCGTCTTCTTTCCGAATGTCGAACAAAGAAGCTCTTCATTATGCTGAACGTTTGGCCTGTCATATTGTATCCATGGCAACAGAGATTGACTCTTTGGGAATGACTGATGGAGAGGTTAGTTTGACTGGAGAGAGGCGGCGAGATAGTGTGGCTCAGTTTTCCGAACAGACCTTGAATGCATTGTGGGTGTATGCTGGAGAGGTGGCAGGAGAAGTTATCAATGATGTCAAACATATGGTTAGTTCTGACCAGCAGTGTTCTTATCACGGAGCTATCAGGAGGTCAAACTCTGAGCGCTCTGTACAAACGGGCCAGAGCAAGGTTGGTCGACTGGCTGAGCAGTGGTCTAATGATTTAATAGCCTCTGTTATGAGTTCTACTCCGTCTTCAAGCACAGTCTCCAGCTCGAGCTCAGGGTTATCGTCTGAGTATCCCAGCTGTGAGAGTGTGACAGACGAATATGCTGGTTATCTCATTAAAGTTCTAAAGAAAGAAGGAGGCAGTAGGGAGCTTGTACTCGATCAGTATGCTAGTCGCTTGGCTTACCGCTCCATCAAAATGGGCCTGTCCCATGCTAGCAGAAAAATCAAGCAAAGAACCTCTAGCACTCGTCTTAGTTTTTCTAAATCCTTTTCAGATGAGTGTGAAACAGTCTCAGCTAAACAGAAGCCATTGTCAGGAAATAGCCCTTCATCTGAGGCCACTCAATGTAGTTGTAGGTTAGAAGACCAAAACCAGAAAGAATTTGTTGACCTTGTGAACTTTGCTGAGTCTTTGGCCTACAATATCACCTGTGATGTTACACAGAAGATGCATCGCACGTCTGTGCGACTCCCCAAGTCTCTGACTGATTCTTGTCTTTATAAAAAGTCCCAGCTTGACAACATGCCTGAAAACATGATACGAAACTCTTTTTCTTGCCCACTTTTATCCAAAGAGGGTCAAAAGAGACACCATCACAGCACAGGCAGCCTATGTGACAGTAGCTACAGCAGTAGGATGATGCAAGTGATTGAACATTATGCTCGAAAGATTGTTGATGATACATTAAAGATGAGCGTGGCTTCTATTGCTCCCACCCCAGAACACCAGAGGATACTAGACCATACCAGACACACTCACGCTCAGAGACTGTCAGAGGCAGCAGTGCTGGGACACAATGTAAGGGACAGAGCGTGTCACTACTGTCAACTTCAGGCGCGCCCTTTGTGCTCTAAACACAGTGCTCCTCAACACTTCCAGCCTGCATTCATTAGGAGAAGGGGCCCACAATGTCTACCAAACTCCAGTGCAGACATCCCTAAGATACACATCCATCTAGACCACAAAGCAGCCTTTGCTGAAGAAATGGTCTCTATGGCCATGGCAGTGGCCAAACGTGAGCTGAGCAATACCAGTCTAAACGCAGATAGTGGTATTGGATATGATGGCACGAGCTATGCTGAAAGCCTGACTGCAGAGATCATGACCTCTGCTTTAACCAACGTCTGCCAGGCCCCCAGCAGCCGGTACATGACATATTCAAACATACATAGAGTTATGAATGACAAAAAAATGATATGTGCTTTTTCTTTAAATTCTTATGCTCACAGATCTCAGGGTCGGGAAGTCACAGAGTCTACGGTGTCCCAGCAGCTGAGTGTGGGAGATGACAGTCTGGGCAGCTGGTCAAACATAAGTTTTGAAGATGAACATCCAGATGAAAACAGCAGCTTCCTTCACCTCAGTGACAGGTACAGCAAACTCTTATTCACCTAATCTCATCCAAGGCCAAATCTTCAATTTTGTCTGGTTTACATGTACACATGTACGGTTTAAGTACGGTTGTCAAGTTATTAATTGTTTATCACATCTCTTGTTGACCTGCTGTCTGAAGACACAAATACAAGTCAAAATGTTTAGTCTTGTCTATAAAAAGAATGGAAACAATGGCACATTATATTAACATTAAATATTGTGGTTTCTCAAGCTGATTATCCAATTAGAAAGCAGAACTAGCACCACATGATTATCTCATTTGAGTTGCCAGTTTCCTTGGTGAAATTCAGCCTCAGTGTGCATGTGTGTGTGTGTGTGTGTGCCTGCATGTGTTTTGAGTGTGTGTGTGTGCGTGCATGCATGTGCGCACGTGTGCGTGCATGCATGTGCGCACGTGTGCGTGTGCTTGCATTATAATATTCAAAATAAAACTTACATGCTGTTCCTTGAATATGAGAAAGTCCACTCGTAAACAATTAAAACACAAATACAGTATGTAGCTCTTAATATGAACCATTCACAGACAGAGGTCGAGCAGATGTAAGATGTATATTATCATTTAGGATTCCTGTAAGTCTGTGAGTCTCAAAAGAGGCTTTATGCACCGAGTTTAGCTGTAGATCATGACAACCTATTCTACATATTTTTGTTAATTGACAACAACTGTATTGTGCAGCATGTCTTGATGGCAGATAATTCAGTGGAATTTTTAAAAATTGAATGGCATTGCGGTGCCTTACCTTGCCTTTCTTCTCAGCAGCAATGGGAACAGCAGTAGCTGGAGCAGTCTGGGCTTGGAGGGAGAGGCGTGTGACGAGTGCCTGTCCTCCCCCTCAGACAGGTCGGCATTACTGTTTTGTAGAATTACCTTAACTGGAATAAGACAATCTTCTGGTCGAAAATGTGACATGAATATTTAAAACCACATTACGTTCAATCCTATGGTATATTGTCTCATACTGGGAGAAGCCACCAACCCTTGCATGACCAAACCTAAATCCTTTCCTCTCGTATGCAAGTGATTGTATAAATATTGTACTTAATATTTATATATTTTCTTTTTTAGGAGTTTTTAGTTTTACTTTGATGTGATGTACCTGACTACAACATTGGAAAGTGGGGTTTGCTTTGTTCCTCGCAAAGTACACTATTTCCTGTACTACAAACTCTTAAGTAGCTCCAGATTAAAGCCTGCATTGAGCATGCACCCACAATGCTTTGCATTTATTTTGACACTGATTGCTCACTTGCATTATAAAGAATTATCAAAATGCTTAGTGAATCTTCTGCTTGATAGCAGGGAATTGGGTGCAGAAATGTTTGTGTCGAACGGTATTTTCACAAGTGACAAAAATGTGGGATAGGTTGGCAAGAGTTTAATTGGCCTTAAAGTTATGACACATTACGGTTACCAGATAATCACAACATTGTGTTGTAATAGTGATTTTTATATGAGTACTGATGTACTTCTATGAATTCCCTCATAACATCTACAATGGCTTTTTATCAACAGTGACCACATCGATGATAAAGACACAGAGAATAAGGACGAATCCATTGGTAAGAAACCTGCTTCACATCATGTAATTAATGCCCGAAATGTAAACTATTGAATTCAATGGTATGATGTCTCTTGTACATACAGTACTGGTTTGGACTTATTGCTAACAGTATCAGTCTTTCTCTATGCATGGTATGTGATGATCTTGGGGGAATTCTACGCCCCCAAATTCAGCCGCAATGTTGCTCATTCATGCCTCCACTCCCTCCTCAGTCACATCACTCCACTTTATCTGTGGTGTGTGTAAAACCAGTACCGGGGGGCTCCGTTGTGGCCAGGATCTGTGTGGGAAACCAAACATGTTTTAGGCTGGTATCATGTGGATGCTCAGTAAGAAGCAATAACATTTGACATTTTTTTCTCAGGGACTGTCTGCATAGATCGGACAGAGGCGCAGGCTCCCAGAATGGTATTGGTCATTCTGAACTCGGATGTAGTGGAACGTGGGCGGGGCCTTGATGTGCAGCTAAGAAGCCTGCTCCAGTGGGTGGCAGCTTCTATGGCAGATGTGCCCCAGATCCAACTCAGCCCAGACAGAGAGCTACAGCAGGTAATGACTCAGACTTTCCTTCAGTGTACAATGAAACTATTCAATTCAGTTTCTGTTTTATGATTGTGAAATGATATCTAAAAACAAAAACATAAGGTGGTTATGTTTTGACTAATTATTTTCTTATTGTAATGTTTGCAGTGTACTTTGATGGCATTTTACACCTTGCCTAGCTGTTAGCTAATACTGACACATTTACAACAATGTTGATTAATGAGTACTGTCCCTATTCAAATCAACTAATAAATAAATAAGTCTGAATGGTCAAAAAATGCTTACAGTATGTGACTACCCATGCTACCACTTAGTTACAGTCTGCAAACAGAGCCATACTATTGTAAAGAACCTAATTTCACCTGAGACATTTTCAAAACTTACTTATGGTATGATGACATAAGGTATAAAATGACGTCATAATTACATCATAATTACATCATACTATCACAGGACTTTTAGATAAAAGGAGCAGAGTTATATGTGCATAATATGCCCCCTGAAATGATTATTATTATGTAAGATTTTTCTAATCTTACAATGGATGCATGGATTACTGCATGTATTTTATTTCCCTTGTGCTCTCACGCTCTTTCAGTTGCCAGCAGTGGTGCAGAAGCTGCGGGAGAAGAGGTGGCATGTAGGGGAGCTGCTTCACATTCTGCTGCGTTACTGTGAGGAGAGCCCAGTGCAGAGTGAGCCCCCAACCAGAGAGGACGCTCTGCAGGCAGGCAGAGACACCCCCCAAACCCCCCTGTTCCAGTGGCTCCTGGAGATTGCCTAGGGCCCATCCTTTTCTTTTCTCCCCTCTGTCATTTCTAACAGGGCTTTGCAAACTCCATTACTGCCTCTAGAGGGAGGCATGCAAATAATTAGTTGAAAATGAATGTGAGATTGTAATTTACATTGCATGTAGTGCTCTAGAGTTCTATATTTATGTTCCTACTTTATATTTTTGATTCAATAGTGAACTGTCTCATCAATCTCCTCATGTCTTGAACCCTTTTTTTTCAAAGGCGACAGAAAGAGTGGAAGAACAATAGAGACGCGGCCTATGTTTCAAACAGAGCAATATGGAGGTTTAGGAATGTTTTTGTTAGGGAATCCCCATTGCTGCGGACAATGATGTCATCAGTGACAGCTCACCTCTGTGGTAGTGTTTCCACATGTTATGAGACCAACAGTGTGCTCCCTTACACACCACACCCTTTGAATATCAGCCATAAAAATGGTAAATTTCAGGCACTATTGTCTGATACTTACCCCCCATTAACATATACTTATTGTATATGTATGTATTTTAATTTCACAATCATTTGTGTGTGTAATTTATTCTATCAATATATAAATATATATAATCTATTTGAGTACACTGGCCTTGATACTCTTGTAAAAACTTATAATGTATGCTCTGTGTATTCTTGTTAACATGTGGGATCGATATCTGGCCAGTCATGAGTTCTTGTAATAAGTTTCTTGCATTCTACAGTTTGATTTAAGTTCTCATTACCAAATATTCGATCAAATGAATGAAGTAATCTGAATGAAGTTGCCTATTGCTGCTGATATTAGTATTAATACTGTACAAGTGCTTGCCAAGCAACAATCTTGATTTTGAAACTTAGTAAAGACTTGAATAAGGGGAGAAGGCCTATACTGGTGCAATCTTTAAAAATCTATATTTTGACAGTATATAAGTCAGATTTGAAATGCTGCTGAGTTCAGATGGAAGCCATGATACAGGCTTTATATTGCCAAATGCTGAGGCGACAAGACACTTCTGCTTTCCTGTTGCTACAGTGCGTAAAATATGTTTGTCCTCAGTGTGTCAGTGAACGTTTTGGAAGATCTAGTGACGCCGCAGACAGTCTTTATTTGAATAATTACTGATTTCTAAAACTACGAATTACTAAGCATGGCTCAAAGCTGTGCCAAACCTGTCATACATCCTCCACTGTCCAATGAAGGAATGCACAAACAAACTGCTGCACAACACTATCTACTAACATGCACTTTCCTGTACTTTAAGACCCAAGCAAACTGCCTTCAAGCATAATAATCAGATACACAATTTAAAATGACATAGTCCCTTGTTTAGAGTTCAACATTATTTATGTTCTATACATAATAGAACTGCAAGTCCGTTTTCAAATGGATTGATACAAAAACTGAAATACCAAAATCTTGAAAAGGCTAACATACCACGCCCTCATTTGTATTCTGAACTGTCGCTGGCTGACATTGTTGACAGTGAACAATAAAGGGATTCTTGGCCTACACAGTAATTAAGCTGTGTCGACATGCTCACTAATGATGTAGTGCCAAGGATTCATAACTATGTATTAAAATCAAATGTTTCCTCTTGAACATATTTAGGGCAATTTGTGAAATCACATCGACTGTAAATGTCAAGTTTATTTTTCCCATGCTCGAACACTGGTGGAAGCTTGTCTGTCGTCAGACTATAACAACTTTATCCAGACTTTCTCTGTCGACGTTAATCTGTTAGCAAGCCTTGTTTTCCTTCAGTAGGATGATATCCAGTTGGAAAATTGTTATTTCAGTGTGAGGAAAATTTGTTAAAGCTTCTGCAATCAGTGCCATACAACTCAGATGGGGCGAGAGCAGGATACCTACCAAGATAAATGTAGTTTATCTTTTCTTTCCTTGCAAGACATAAACACTAAACAATTTTGTTAAAGCATAAAATGGCTCAAGATCTTGACTCTAGTATTTTCACTTTTTTTTGTGAAAACATAAAGCTTACCGCTGCTTGCTTTTGCTTTTAAGAGTATTTAGCTGGGAAAAGGTACTTCACATTCAATGTACTGATGCAGTATGTCATGGGCCATGAATTGAACAGCATTGATGTATTTATTACTCGGCAACAGAACATAATCTATAACACATGTGACTCCTGGCACAAGCGTGGACTCGTTTTACAGTTGATCTATAGCAGAATGTGACCAAGCTTTTCTTTATTGCTTACATTTTCTCTGCTGCCAAACAGTTTTGTCCTATAAAAAATTGTTTACTCCTTCAAATGGGTTTTACAGAACATTATTTACCGATGGATTTTGAAGAAGAATTGCTAGAATATTTCTTAGTTTACATTGAAGAATACATAGAGGTATGTGGACATGCTGCATTATTTCGTACAAGCGTGTGTGTTGCTGAGGCAGGACTTCTGTTGCCTCCCAGTGTTTTCTTTCTATGAATCTCCAGTGCTATTGTCGTATTGTGAATGCTGAATGTGCAAAGACTCTATGTAAAAGCGGATATTGTAAATTGGTTTTGCTACTGTTGTAAACAATTTGTTTTGCCTCTTTTGGCCACTTGCAGTTAAAAATGTACCTCAGCCACTTGTACACTCTATTTTTCCTGTGCTATTAAGAAATCCTGCCAAATGAATATATTGAATATTTTATGTAAGTTATATACTGTCTGATGAAAAGTGATGAATTTGTCCCTGAAGTGACATTGCTGCATACAGTAGTCAACACATTCAAGCCTGAAGTTTAACTATAAAGTTGTTTATGTTGAAGCTTGGTGTGAGAATAAAGCTTTTCCATGTGCCCTTGTGTCAGATATGAGTCTTATTTCACATTCACAGTCATAATACAATGTGCAAAAGATTTATAATGTTGACATGGTTTGTTCACAGAAGCCACACTAATTAGATAGTAGCCACGGCAACTGTAGAAACAACTACATATTTGTATGCTCCATCTTAATCTATCGTTGTTCTTGCAAAGCAACTTCGTGCTGGTATGGTTATTCAACAAGAATAACTATTATTTAGCATCAGATTGCAATTCTGCTGAATACAAAATGTTTTATCTGACATTTTAAACTCTTGACTACAGAGCTTTTTGTAATCTTTCTAATACTTTCCATTTAATTCCATTTATTTTTGTATAGCCCTAATTCAGAACAGAAAACTTAGTAAATCTCGGAGGAATTTACAAAGTTGTTGATATGCCAACAACAGATGAGACAATCAAACATTTCAATGCAAACACATGGAGCCACTGGGCCACAGAATGACCAATGTACATACATGCCCTTAAATGTCCTGAGACCCTGCTGCATCAGTAAGGACCAACTAAGTAAGTAAGTGGGTAAGTAATGTTTATTTATGTAGCACATTTTTCAGACCAAGGTCACCCAAAGCGCTTTACAATGTTCCTAGTTCAGATATTGTTCCAATCATTCCACACACGGTGATGACGGAAGCGAGTCGCCGAACACACTGGACCATCAGCTCCAATCAACACCATCCATTCACTCTCTCATTTACATTCAGACCTATTGTGCATGTTTTTAGTGGTAGGGGAAACTGGAGCACCCAGAAGAAACCTACACAGACACGAGGAGAACATGCAAACTCCTCTCAGAAAGACCCTGCTGAGAAGTGAGAGTGCTATCCACTCAGCCACCGTGCCAAACTAAAAGAAACACCCAGTAGGAAATAGTTATAAAAACCTCAGGATGCCCATATTCAGAGAGGCACTTGCTCCCAATGATGGCCAGGCTGTAGATTCAGGACTGAGGCTGTAGATTCAGGACTGAAGAGCCTCCCAGACGGGGAGAGGGCCCATGGGTCCAGACCAGCTTCACAGGTGCAGTTCACAGATTGTAACTGTGCATTTAACATCTATCTTTTCTATCTATCTCTAAGTTTTGTTTGATGATGCCTCTAGACCTGGACAAGATGGACGATCTGTCAATACAATACATTTTTATGGAACAGATAGAGGGAAAATCTGGCGCATAACATAAAACACACAAAGTGAAGTCTAAAATCACAGTCAGACTTACATCCATCACATCAAAATCAACTGCATAATTTGTTACCTTCACATGGATGACAATATTTCATTCAATAATATGACAATTTACAGCTTAGTTTCCAAGATTCCTATTTTAAGATCTTGAATCAAAAGTGTAGAGTCAGTGGACCCCACAACAACTTAGCACTGTTGCCATGTGATTAGACCTCACAGAAGTATACTTAGGTAATGTTTTGTTTCAGTTAGAGTCTGTTGGCAAGCAGCAAATCAATGGCAAAGTCTGTCTACTACTTGGGGAAAGGAAAGATGAAAGCGAGAGGGAGGAGGGCAGGTGGGAAAAGCTAATTGCAGGTTTCACAGTGATACAGTCAGTAAGGAATGTGTCTGTCAAGCTCATCGCTGTCACTGCGGAGTAGGCTAGAGGCGAACACGGGACATAAGCTGGAGGGATATGATCATATGGTAAATACCTTTATTATAACAATTAAGAATAACTCAGATTGGTAGTTTATTGCAAATATCTAAATCTGGGTGTAATCCATGGCAAATAATATGTGGCGCTTCATGTGGATATTTTTGAGTTATTCAGCTATTTTCTACTGGAAAGTCACACCAGCAGTTAACAGGCACGCAGACTTCCATCCATCCATTTTCTTCCGCTTTATCCGTTGCCGGGTCGCGGGGGCAGCAGTCTAAGCAGAGACGCCCTGACTTCCCTATCCACACACACTTCCTCCAGCTCGTCCGGGGGGACCCCAAGGCGTTCCCAGGCCAGCTGAGAGACATAGTCCCTCCAGCGTGTCCTGGGTCTTCCGCGGGGCCTCCTCCCGGTGGGACGTGCCCGGAACACCTCCCCAGGGAGGCGTCCAGGAGGCATCCGGAACAGATGCCCGAGCCACCTCAACTGGTTCCTCTCGATGTGGAGAAGCAGCGGTTCTACGCCGAGCTCCTCCCGTGTGACTGAGCTCCTCACCCTATCTCTAAGGGAGCG